TCTATATGAGTATGGGTCTCTATGGTTTTACATGAGTATGGGTCTCTATTGTTCTACATGAATATGGGTCTCTGGTTCTACATGAGTATGGGTCTTTATGGTTCTATATGAGACTGGGTCTCTGGTTCTACATGAGACTAGGTCTCTATGGTTCTCCATGAGTATGGGTCTCTATGGTTCTACATGAGTATGGGTCTCTATGGATCTATATGAGTATGGTTCTCTGGTTCTACGTGAGTATGGGTCTCTATGGTTCTATATGAGTATAGAATTAACTTTGCTGCTATTAACTTCCACGTCATAAGCCACTTTGTTGAGCTGTCATTTGCATGTCGCTTCTGACGAAATAGAATGTAGCCCAGTGAGGCCTTGACTGGTAAAATAAATAAATAAAGTGTATAGTTTGTAATTATCCTGCACGCAAAGATGTCGTGCTCCATTATGCGTGCACGACAAATGTGATTTCATACCTGTTAACCCCTTATCTGTGCCTACCTTATTACATACCAATTCAGACCTTATTGGTCACCGCGTGCCTTTATAAATCTCAACATTCATCCTACAAAGTACCATCACAAGGGAGAAACACAAAGACATTTTTTCTGCCCATATTGAAATGTCTGTATGCCGTATGGACCTGGAAACTCAATGTCCCTGTACAAGAATACGGGGTAAACCGTACGGGTTGACACGGTATGCAATTTGCTGTTGCTTCCCACACTATGCAATGTCTCGGTGAGCAGCAGCAGGAGCTACCGCGTCTTCCTTGGGGCAGACGACGAGGAGGTGGTCGTGGTGGGGGTGGTGGAGGAGGTGGTGGAAGTGGAGAGCCCTCTTCTGTGCTAATGGAGCCGTGCATTAAGCTAGAAGAAGACGAAGAGAAGCCTGGCAGTAAGATATGGCTGCCAGTGAAAGTGGAGACGCAAGGCTGCAATGGCTGTGAGTATTATCTCCCAATAGGGCAGGGGTGGGGAACGTCCGGCCCGCGGGCCATATGAGGCCCGCGAAATCATTTAGTCTGGCCTGCCAAGGCAACCGTAGGCGGGACTCGAAAGTCAATGAATCTAGGAGCAAACCTGGAAAAGCAGTTGCGAGTAGCAACATCATCAATACAAGCTAACATCACACGCCTCACCAAAGAGAAGCAGTTCCAGCCATCGCATTAGGGGTGAGTTAATTAAATGTTTGACCAAATATAACAGGCTAATTATTGGCAGAAAAAAGGTTCCCCACCCCTGCAATAGAGACTGGCGATGGTCTGAACGTCTTTCGCACGTTACTTAGCCACATTTCCAAATTGGAGGTGCGGTGTAGTGTAGTATGCAGTGTTGTGTATAGTGTAGTGTAATCGGTGGTGCTGAGGGGAAGGACAATCTAAAACACAAAAAGTGCAGTTCTAAAGAAATTAGTTTTCATTCTAGATGCTTGAATGTATGTATGTATGTGTGTTGAACTTATTTCGCACCGTACGTAGCCAACCGTGCGAATTGGAGATGCAATCTCCTAGGACATTTGGAAACACGTTTTGAAAGATTTGTGCATGTGACTGTGTGACTCAATATAATCCCAAGCATGCATCTCTGCATACTGCTTTGTACATTCTTCTGATGTTCAATTTTTCCATGTGTTCGAGAACATACATGACGCTCGAAGTATCATATTTTTGCCAAGGTGGCGAGATATTAACGACCTCGCCTGGTATACAGGAGGCCGTGGGTTCGATCCCGACTGACTCCTGTATATTTGGAGTTTGCACGTCTCTCTCTCTCCCCGTGGTCGCGTGGATTTTTTATTCGGGTCCTCCGGTTTTTCCCTCCACATTTAGAATCATGCGTTTTGAGTATTTGGCTGCTATACATTTCCCCATGATAAGCCAATTCGTTGAAGCTATAATTTGTGATGGGCAGGTCGCTTCTGAAAAAGAGCTACACAGCTCAATGGGCCTTCCCTGGTCAAAATACAAACAGTTTAGTTTTATAAATTGAAGAAAAGCAAGAGGATTTTGGGCAAGACGTCTCACTATAAGGGATGACAGCCTTGTGGTCAAGACTAAAGTCACAATGGCGATTTCAGTCGGCTAGAGTGTAGGTTTCGTGGATTCTGATATCACAGGATCAGGATCATGAGAGCAGCGACTCTCTGCCCACAGTGCGAGGCTGGGCGCCTCTCTTGTCCCACTGGCGCGCAGGGAGAATTATGCTGCTGTTGCGAACTGCTTCTAGCTTCTGCCAGCTGCTGAGCTGTTCTCCACACAGTCATCACTGTTCGCGATAGAGGGGTTGGGGTAGTGCGGGTGTCGGCAACCCACGGCTCCGGAGCCGCATGCGGCTCTTTTGAACCTTGACCGCGGCTCCGGGGCGGATGCTAGCGAGGGGAGGAGGCGCACTGTGACACCTGCTCAGGCGTTGCCGCTGCTGACAGGTAGCCGCTCCGCTCCACACTGCCCGCCCGGTGACAGGCAATAACGTTGCCGTTGCTAGGTAACGCAACATGGCTGCCTCCATCAGCTCCGCTCCTCAGCTCCGCCTCGCCGCTCATACAGTGCCTGGTGACGTCAGGCCGCCTGCGTGCGAGGGGGAGGAGTGACGGAGCCGGAGCCAGCCTGAGCCAGCACAGCGCGGGAGTGAAGAACACACACACAAAAAAGGTAACTTGTTAATTTAACGTTTATTTCTATGAGGAGTAATTCTGAGGGGGTCAAACCAAAAAATAAAGTTATTTTTATAATGACGAGGATGACATTGGGCCCTCATTATTAATTATTATTTACATCAGGCACTGATTATGATTTATGGTACACTGGGGCCCTGATTAATTTTCTATGGCATTTTGGGGCATTGGTCATTTGGGGGCATTGGTCATTTTCTCTGGCACTTTGGGGCAGTAATTAGTTTTTTATGGCACATTGGGGGCATTGTTATTGGCTGTGTAATGTGCTGTTCAATTGCATTCTTTTTTTTTGGTTGGAGTAGGTTGCAGGGAAAGGGGAGGGGGGTGGCTGGAGCTTGAGGGGGGTGGGCATAGCAAATTTTGCTATGGGGCCCTGTGATTTCTAATTACGTCGCTGTTTTCGACCCCCCGGTAGGCCAGCCATGGATAAAGGCAAGAAGAGAAAAATTTCTGAAGAAAACAGAGTGTTTAATGATACATGGACAGAATCATTTGCATTCTCTACTGACGAGACTGCTAGTTTTGTGGCCGCTCAGGAAATAGTCAAGCACGGGAAGCCCTTCACAGATGGAGCGTATATAAAAGAAGCATTCATTAATATTTCGGAACATCTATACATGGACTTCAAAAACAAGAATGAAATTGTGCAGAAAATCAAAGACATGCCTCTCTCTGCGAAGACTGTCAAAGACAGAACCCTAAAAATGGCAGAAAACATTAGCAAACAGCAAATTCAAGACATTAATTCAGCTGTGGCGTACTCCATCGCCTGTGATGAGTCCAAAGATAAAGGTGATATTGAACAAATAGCGCTGTTCTGCCGATATGTGAACTCTTTTGGGCCACAGGAAGAACTGATTGAGCTGATACCACTAAAAGACCAAACAAGGGGTGAGGATATCTGTAAGGCTGTCCTGGACTTTTTAAGTGCTAAAAAAATAAACACCAACCACCTGGTCTCAGTGGCTACTGATGGGGCACCGAGCATAAGAGGAGCACAGAAGGGCTTTGTGGCTCTACTGCAGAAGGCGCTGGGTAGAACGCTGCTGTAATTTCATTGCATCCTGCACCAAGAGGCATTGTGTGCTCAAACATTTCCCCTGGAATGCACAAAAGTGATGGATGTGGTCATTCAGATTGTTAATAAGATAATGGCAAAGGGTTTAAACCACCGCCAGTTCCGTTTGCTATTGGATGAGGTGGAAAGCATATATTCTGACCTCCTGCTCCACAACAAGGTCCGGTGACTGTCAAGAGGCGAGGTGCTAAAACGCTTTGTCACATGTTTGGAAGAAGTAAAAACCTTCCTGGGCAGCAAAGAGCTCACCTTTGCTGAGCTGAAACAGCCAGAGTGGCATGACAGCACATCTAAACACGCTAAATACAACCCTTCAGGGGAAAGGAGGCACAGCCCTACACATGCTGGAGGAGTTTCGATTTAAAGCTTTCGTGACTGCAGGGATTCATCTTCTTGGTTCTTTCGGTAAAGTCACGTAGAAGGGAAGCAACAAAATAATAAAAATAAAACATAACAAAACAATTCTCACGACGTTTCGGCCACAACGCAAGCAGCCGTCCTCAGGTGAAAACCAGGTCCGTCGAGGCGACAGAGTCTGAATGAAACAGCACACGAGCTTGGAGCATATATATAAGCTGGGCGCATTGACAAAGGAATTTGCATATCAAAAGGAATTTAGCATATTTATGGGAAATGCAGGAATGTGATTAGTACTGCATATGCATGTGCATTATGCAGGATTAACAGCATCAAAGGGAGCTGCAGCAGCAGCAGTAACTGCAGCTCCCTTTGATGATGTTAATCCTGCATAATGCACATGCATATGCAGTACTAATCACATTCCTGCATTTCCCATAAATATGCTAAATTCCTTTTGATATGCAAATTCCTTTGTCAATGCGCCCAGCTTATATATATGCTCCAAGCTCGTGTGCTGTTTCATTCAGACTCTGTCGCCTCGACGGACCTGGTTTTCACCTGAGGACGGCTGCTTGCGTTGTGGCCGAAACGTCGTGAGAATTGTTTTGTTATGTTTTATTTTTATTATTTTGTTGCTTCCCTTCTACGTGACTTTACCGAAAGAACCAAGAAGATGCTGGAGGAGGTTTTGGCATTCGAGCGCAAGTTGACAGTGTTTGTCAAAGATTTACAGAGAGGTACACTGCCTCACTTTCCCTCTTTGAGAGAGTTCAAACAAAGTCATGATACGATAAATTTGGAATATTTCAAGTCTGCAATCACCGCAATGCAACGTTCGTTTGGGAAACGATTCTGTGAGTTCAGAGAGGAAAAAACCACATCCTTCCCTGTCACTCCCCTGGCGATCGATCCATCCCTATTGAATATGACTGCATTTGCAGATGTAAGTCAACCTGATCTTGAGATGGAACTGGCCGATATAGCCGACAAAGATATATGGGTGTCCAAGTTCAAATGCTTGACCGCTACTCTTGAGGATGTTGCCCATCAGAAGGCCATTCTGGCTCAGAATCATAAATGGAGTGATATTGAAAACCTTCCCAAACAGGACAAACTTGTATTCGAAACATGGATTGCCATCCCCAACACTTATATAAACATGAAAAAGTATGCATTTGGAGTCCTGTCGATCTTCGGCTCAACATATGTATGTGAGCAGGTCTTCTCCAACATGAACTATATTAAAGACAAACATCGATCACACCTCACAGATGACAGCTTGCAAGCCTGTGTGAAAATGAAGGTGACGTCTTACAGCCCTGATGTGCAGACACTGTGCACTGAGGTTCAGGAGCAAAAATCCCATTAACCAGGTAAATTAAATATTTTAATTAGCTATTAATTTGCAAAAATATATTTTACATTGTTAAGTGAAAAAGTCATTTTTTTCTTCAGAGTGACAGCTGACTGCACGATCCTGTATATAGCATTAAGGTAAGAAACAATATATGCAGTGTTATATTTGTTTAAAATGTCGCAATGGTTTTGCGGCTCCCAGTTTATTTTTTCCTTCGGAAACGGGTCCAAGTGGCTCTTTATGTCTTAAAGGTTGCAGACCCCTGGGGTAGTGATATACGTTGGGTTAGTGATAGGGGTAGTGATTGGGGTTGGGGTGTGGTCGTAGCTGGGGGTCGAGGGCAGGGAGTAGCAGGATGGGCTAGACCGCTAGAGAGAAGAGATGGGGATTGTTTTAAGGGAGGAACGGAAGCAGGTTAGTGAAAATTATTGTTTTACGTGCAAGATTTTTTTTTATGTGTAGCATGCGTTTGTGCTTATAAATCTGTTCACTGTTCACCCGTCATATTCCATCTCTCAGCTGAAGGAATGGACATTCGCATTAAAGAGGAGGAAGTTCAGGCTGATGGGAGTAACCTGGCAATCAAAGAAGAGAAACCGAGTGCCGATGGCCGAGAACTTCAGCTCAAACTAGAGACGCGACAGGTCGGTCGAAGGGACCTGCACATTGTGGAGGTTGACCTTAAAGGTCCGCTGATTGGCGATTGTTCATCTGTGGCATCTGGGGAGCCACGATTCTCACGGGGGGACTGTACTGCATCATCAAGGGTGGCGGAGATTGAAGTGGAGGTGGGCGACGATGATGGTGATGGTAAGGGAGGGATGGAACTCTGTGGGGTCTTGGTCAGTACGAGGGGTAAGGTCTGGTACAGAGGCCTCTCCAAACTGTCGACGTGGTGGAGATCGAGGTGGTTTTGGAGGATCTAACCACCGATAGTGTAGAGGGGAGCTCCATGTGTATGGGTCATTATGAGTGAGGCCTGTTAACCCTTTTACAGCTCAGTGCAGAAGTCCCTCGGTTAACGTTTTTAGTCCATTCACAAAAAATACTGTTAACAGAAATAACGATGGATCGAATTCACTTATGAGTTGAAAAATAATAGTCTGCAAGAGGGCTGTTTCCACTGACAAAACAGAAAACGTACAATGTTAAACAAAGCCAAGTCGAGGTCTAAACCTCTCATAAAGGAGTGTCGCTGTTTGTCTGAGGGCACGGCTCAGCCCCCACTTACGAGTACTCGGATTGGCCAAAATTGGCGCCACCACGTGCATAGCGTAAACGTATCGTCAGTCAACATTAGTAACATGAAGTCGAAACCATGGGCGTCCTATGGGAGGTAAAACGTTAACCGCAAAAACCGTTCACCGATGTCACTGATAACCTAGGGATTATTATACCCAGCGATGCCCTTTAGATAGGCCTAATAGAGGCAGACCATGCTTAGTGCTCAAGATGCATTCCTGGAGAGGTGAGCGCTAACCAAATCGGCGCTAAAAGGGGGTTATAAGATATTAGGAAGCCACTGGAGCTATGCACTTTTAAATCATCTAGATTGAAAACTTATTTTTTGAGAACTCTCTGTTGTGTCGAGTTTGTTGACCTTCCACCCGCACCTCCGATTACCGTGGTCGGTTGTCTACGTACGGTGGTGCGAGGGAAGTTGCTTTTGTGGGCCTTTCTCGAACATTTAAAGTGGTGCAGTGCTCTGCGAGGGCATCCAAATTGATTATTTGTCTCATGATGTGACGCCAATCGGGAAAAAAAATGTGTTAACGCCAGAATGTTCGTGTCACAGGAAGGGTCGTGAACGGTGGCCTGAAAACGCCCTCCCATGCAAAAACTGCCAGGACAACCACGACAACAACTCACATCGAAGAGAGAGAGCATGGCTGCTCCGTGTGCGGCAAGAGCTTCGTTCGTCCGTCGGATCTTAAGAACCACGCGATGAGCCACATGGCAGAGAAGCCGCATAAGTGCTCTGTGTGCGGGAAGGGGTTCGGCCGCCTTTTCTCGCTGAAGGCCCACGCGATGATCCACACGGGCGAGAGGCCCCACGTGTGCGGCAAGGGCTTCGGCCGCCAGTCCACCCTTCAAAACCACGCCGCCACGCACGCCGGAGAGAAGGCGCACCGGTGCCCGGTGTGTGGGAAGGGGTTCGCCCGCCCGTCGACACTCAAGGGCCACATGATGATCCACACGGGCGAGAGGCCGCACCGGTGCCCGACGTGTGGAAAGGAGTTCAGAAAGTCGACGCAACTCAAGGGCCACGTGAGGAGTCACACTGGGGAGTGGCTCCACAGGTGCTCCGTGTGCTGGAAGGGTTTCGTCCGCCCATCGGAACTGAAGAGCCACGTGATGACGCACATGGGGGGTGAGAGGCTACACCGGTGCTGCGTGTGCGGGAAGAGTTTCTTACTCCCGTCGTACCTCAAGCATCATATGGCCACTCACGACGAAGAGAAGCCACACAAGTGTAATGCGGGCGTAAACGGCCTCGCAGATATGACGTAACAGGGGGGAGGAGTTGGGTCACGTGGGGAGAAGGGAGAGCTCTTAAGGGCGGGAACCGGAAGAGACGGGGGGAGAGTGTAAGAATAAAGATGGGAGGAGGCCACGCAGGGCAGGAGGTGGAAAGTGGCGTGATCGCCACAGGACAGGACTCGGCACCGTTGGCCAGCGGTGTCCGGGCACGGGGGAGACGGAGAGCAGCGGTGGGGCTGCAGAGAGAGCAGCCGAGGGGCTGTAGATCGGGGCGGAGAGGCTGAGAGAAAAGCCAGCAGCGGAGCTGCAGCGGGAGCCAGCAGAAAGGCTACGTGAGCGACGGCAGCAGAAGGGCTGCCGAATGGGAGGTGGAGAAGGCTCTGAGCGAGGCGCCGTGCGGGGCGAAGTTGTACGAACCCAAATAAAGGACAACGGAGACAGACACAGTGAAAGAGTCCTTTATTACACTGGTGTCAGAAGTGAAACGGCATGTCAAAACAGCTCAGAAGAAAGAATATCCCCGCACCATCGTCTGCTACATCTTCCGACGACGACGACCTTCCTCAGGCAGTGGACCTGCCTGCAATGGAGGAGGAAGTCCCAGCGGGAACGAGTGCTGGTCCGGGAGTGCAAGATGTCGCCGCGTCGGTGGATCCGCCCGCGCCGGAGGACGCTGACCAACGATGGAGACAGATGGCGGCACAGCTGGAGACCTTGAAGACCGTATTGGCGCAACTGTGTGACCTCGTCACGCCGGCGACAGCGTCGGAGAGGCCCGGGGGTGATTGGCAGGCCGCGGCCTTGCCTGCGCTGCCAGCGCCCTCTGCCACGCGGCGCGAAGACGCCATCTTGGGCGTGGCAGAGGAAGAACCGCGGGAAGCCGCCATCTTGCGCCCTCCGCGGCGGGAGGCCGCCATCTTTGACACGTTGTGGTGCGACGCCATCTTGAATATGCCACGCGACGAGTCGCCTGCGGAGGACGGCGCAGCGAAGAGTCGCAGCCGTCACTTGACAACTGTTAAAGAATTCTCCATTGGAGGCGATTGGAGTGCTTTCGCCTGCAGATTTTTAGCGGCGGTGCGCTCCGCCAGGTGGACTGACGCAGAGGCCCTGGAAGTTCTGCCAACTCTTCTCGACGATTCTTCCGTTCCATCAAGGCCGAGAAAAAGAAGACACTGAGAGGAGTTTTTGACGAGATGGCGGATGCGTACGAGCCACCAGATGATGCCCACCGCCGATTTGTTCAACGCCAGCGGGCACCCGAAGAGTCGCCGGTGGCATACAGGGGTGCGGTCTTGGAATTAGCCATGGCCGCATACCCAGAGACGGAGCCTGACCTACTGGAACCCCTGATTTTGGGCAAGATGCTTGAGCTGTCCAGGGATTTGGGGATCCCTATGCCGGTGTGTGGCCATGAGAAGCTGACGTCCTGGGCGGCCGCAAAGTGTCTGGATGCCCAGTTTAATCTACGCTGCTGAAAGCAAGTGACAGCGTGGACGGGGGGGCCCATCGTCGAAGGAGGTGCCGTGGGTTGGGATCCCAAGAAGGCGGTGTACGTTCCTGACGGGGGGGGCCCGCAGGAGCTGACAGCCGCCTCTGCGCAGTGGCCGGCCCGCGGTGGACCGGGGCCGCGATCTGCGCCGCCGATGCGGGAGCGTCGGGATGGGGGGAGTGCGGTGCGTCATAATGACGTCGAGTGCTTCCGCTGCGGTCGCAAGGGCCATTACGCCAGGGACTGCTGGGCCCGTATCCCAGGACCGCCCCAGCAGGAGGCCTCGACAGCAGACGTGCCGCGGAAGGACCCTCCTGGACAGGCAAGGCGGTGCGCACCAGACACCCGGCAAGGCTTGACACCTCATTCATCACCATTGCCGTGCGATCCGGGTGTTGTTAATAACGGGAGGCCACCGTCTGGGCCATGTCGCTCGGTAACACAGTGGCGTAAATTGGCACGCCGGGTTGTCGCGGCCGCTACTGGTTCGTCCACTGTGCCGGGTTCTATACAGGGGGTTGACGTGCGCATTTTAGTGGATTCCGGTGCGTCCGCGACCATTATATCTGATGTCATTTTCCATCTGTTGGGCATCCCACCGGAGGCTGTGCGTCCAGTTTACGATTCCTGCGTTGCAGTGAATGGGGGAAGTATGGGCATTGTGGGCCAAGTGGACGCCAATATATCTATTGGGGGAGTGTCGGCCTCGGGAATTGTGTTAATCTCGAGGTCCCTTGCGGTTCCGTGTTTGTTGGGAACTGATTTTCTGGCAAAAATGCCCATTCTAAAAAGAGTTAATCAAAATTGTATCGAATTACCGGGGGGTCGAAAAATTACATTTCTGCCGTCGCCCTGGGGGCGACCTGCTCCGATCTGCCAGGTGCAGGCACTGTCCGAGGTATTTGTTGACATTCCACCTGGCTCACAGATGCTTATCCCTTTGCGATATCGGAAACCTGTGCCTGGTCAGGAGGGAGCAACTGGGGTTTTGTTATCGCCGTCCGCTACCATAACGGGCGGATCGGCGCTCGTTGGGGCGCAAACTATTATCCGGCCGGACCAGCAGCCATTTTTGCAGGTGCTTAATGGGAGTACGGAAAATGTTTGCGTGCCGGCCGGAACGGTCGTGGCCCATGCCACTACGGCGTTTACGGCCCAGGACCATCTGGGCCGCTGGCATATGGTTGCCGGTGTTTCGGGCCCTGCAGCCCCAGATGATCGCTGGATCGCTGAATTGTGCGGGGAAAATTCTTCCCTTTCCGGGGAACAGCGTTCCCCGCTTCGCGCGCTATTGTTGAGTTATTCCGATGTGTTTAGCTCCGACGATTTGGACTTGGGACGCACCTCCCTGCTTTCCCATCATATTGACACAGGGGACGCTGCTCCCATTCGGTTGAACTCGCATCGGATGAGCCCGGCGGAGCGAGACCAGGTTCGAGGAGCAGTGGATGACATGTTGGCTGCGGACATAATATCTCCATCTAACAGCCCATGGGGCGCGCCTGTAGTCTTGGTTAAAAAGAAAGACGGGAAATTGTGATTTTGCGTTGATTTTCGCAAATTAAATAAAGTGTCCGTGGTGAATGCGTACCCCCTGCCGCGTATGGATGATTCCCTCGATGCCTTGTCGGGGGCAAAGTTCTTTTCGACGCTGGATCTCTCTTCGGGATTCTGGCAGCTTCCCCTCGATGAGTCCTTGCGGGAAAAGACTGCTTTCCGTACGCCGCAGGGTTTATTTCAATTTAATTGTCTTCCGATGGGGTTGAATGCTGCCCCCGCCACATTTCAGGTTGATGGAACTGGTATTAACGGGGTTGCAGTGGGAGACATGTCTGATATATTTAGACGATATTATCGTCTTCAGCCGCACATTTGACAAACAGTTACTGTGGTTGGAGGCGGTGTTCGCCAGAATACGCTCCGCCAATCTGAAATTTAAACCTAAGAAATGTCACCTACTGCAACGGTCCGTGCGCTATTTGGGACATATAGTCAGTGCCGACGGAGTTGCCACGGATCCGGAGAAGACGGCGTGCGTCCGTGACTGGCCAACCCCAGCCACGGTGGGGGGTGTGCGTCGCTTTTTGGGGTTTGCCTCATATTATCGTAGGTTCGTTCCCAATTTCGCAACGATCGCGAGGCCTCTGCACCTCCTTACGGGTAAAGGACGTAAATTTGATTGGGGACCGCCGGAGGAGGCGGCGTTTAAAGGCCTGCGCGATCGCTTGGCTATGGCGCCGACGTTGGACTATCCAAATTTTGATCACCCCTTCATTTTGGATACGGACGCGAGTGACACGGGCATTGGGGCCATGCTGTCACAGTCCAAAGGCGGTGTGGAACGCGTGGTGGCGTACGGTAGCCGGGTTCTGTCCCCCGCCGAAACCCGCTACTGCGTCACTCGCCGGGAACTTTTGGCTATTGTCTATTTTCTCCGCCAATTTCGACCGTATCTCTACGGCCGTTCGTTTATTGTGCGCACGGATCATGCGGCTTTGCAATATGCCCTGAAGGTGGACCAACCATCTGGCCAGCTGGCACGATGGTTGGACACACTGCAGGAGTTTTCCTTCCAAATTCAACATCGGAAGGGGGTGCGTCACGCGAATGCGGACGCGCTCTCTAGGTTGCCACAGCGATCCCCTTGCGTCGGGGACGCATAGGTGTACGCCGATCCAGCAGCCCCCTCGGCCTGTTGCGTTGGCGGTCGAGGTGCCTGAGGCTCCAGTGTGGCCGGGACCGGCCGATGGGATTTTGAACCTTCCACGGGCTGTATGGATTCGTGAACAAATGCTGGACGACTCATTGGGGACCCTGCGGAGTCGGGCTGCGAAGGGGGGGGGGGGGGGACCGGTTTCCGGAGGGACGCCGGGGACCGCTCTCCACGACGGACTGCTGATGTGGAGGGAGGGGTTACAGGAACGCTGGCGTCTTGTTGTACCGGCGTCATTGCGGTACGAATTGATTAGGACTCTGCATTGCGACATGCTGTTACACCTGGGGGTGCAGAAGACCTTATTGACGTTGCAGCGAGATTACTTTTGGCACAGCATGACGACGGATGTCGTCGGGCACGTTCGCGCATGTCCCGAATGTGCCCGGCGGAAGCCGCCTAAACACCCATATGTGCTGCCAATACAGTCTATTCAAGTGTCTCGGGTTAACGAGTTGGTGGCGTTGGATATTTTGGGACCCTTCCCGCCATCTGCTAAGGGTAATAAATACTTGCTAGTTGGGGTGGAGTACCTCTCCCGCTGGCCGATGGCCTGGCCCTTGCCCGACCAGTCGGCGGCGTCCATTACGGACGCCTTTCTATTCGGATACGTCATGGACAAGGGGGCGCCGGAGAGGCTGCTCACGGATCAGGGCCGAAATTTTTCTTCAAAGTTGTTGGAGGAGGTGTGCGCGGCTCTGGGAACTAAAAAGATCCGGACATCTCCCTACCACCCGCAGACGGATGGCATGGTTGAACGGCTAAATCGGACTCTGTCCGCCATGCTGTCACACGGTGAGTGAAAAACAAGCGGATTGGGATTTGCATATCCCTGGGGTACTCTCGGCATACCGGATGACGCCTCATGCGTCTACAGGATATTCGCCATTTTTTCTTATGTACGGTCGCGAAAACGTGCCGCCGATGGATGTGCAGTTGGGAACAGGAGTGAGGGGACCTACTAAGCCTCTCCCTGATTACATTCAGGACACCGTTCGCCGCGTCACTGAGGCGCGGGAGGGGGCCCGCATGGCTACGGCCAAAACCCAGGCCCGGAACGAACGGTGCGCTCGACGCTCGAAGGGGAAGTGCCCCTGGAAGGTGGGGGACATGGCCTGGCTGCATTTCCCGCAGATGTGGGCAGGGACCTCCCCTAAATTACATAAACCATGGCAAGGGCCTGTTAGGCTCATCGAGGTTCCCAACCCGCAGTCCGCACGCGTTCGGTTCGGATCTCGGCGCTGGTACGTCCATACGTCTCGCTTAAAACCATACGTGGCCCCTCGACCGGATGCGTCATCTCCTGATGTTGTCTTGCCGGTGTCTGTTGCTGCCGACGCACCCTTGCCTGTGCCTGTTGACCCTGCAAGAGCGCCTGTCGTGCCTTTTACAGACAAACCGGCCGTGACACTGCAGGAGACAGGGGACTCTGCTCTGGGTGGGCCTACCACGGCTGCGGGGACACCGAGCCCCGCCGCCCTTCCAACCCCACCACAGACACGATTGCGGGACACCCCGGACTCTGGTCCTTCGGGGAAACGGGACCTTGGCGTTGGCGGGCCTCCAATAGCGACAGGCAGTTTTGATCCTGTCGCTCCTAAAACCCCGTCACGTTCTCGGTCTGCAGGGGGGCCGCCGCTCGTCCGGGACGGGCCGGCGACCCGCACGCGGTCGAAGTCCCTTACTTTTCGTTGATTAATGTTGTTCTTGTTCTTGTTGTTATTGTTATATTCGTTGCATTCTCCATTGTCCGTTCATGTCTGATGGTTGGTGGTCGCTCGCATTACTTGTTTGTTTCAGCCGAGGACGGCTGGAATTTTCTCCACGGGGGAGGGTGGTGTAATGCAGGCGTAAACGGCCTCGCGGATATGACGTAACAGGGGGGAGGAGTTGGGTCACGTGGGGAGAAGGGAGAGCTCTTAAGGGCGGGAACCGGAAGAGACGGGGGGAGAGTGTAAGAATAAAGACGGGAGGAGGCCACGCAGGGCAGGAGGTGGAAAGTGGCGTGATCGCCACAGGACAGGACTCGGCACCGTTGGACAGCGGTGTCCGGGCACGGGGGAGACGGAGAGCAGCGGTGGGGCTGCAGAGAGAGTAGCAGAGGGGCTGCAGATCGGGGCGGAGAGGCTGAGAGAAAAGCCAGCAGTGGAGCTGCAGCGGGAGCCAGCAGAAAGGCTACGTGAGCGACGGCAGCAGAAGGGCTGCCGAGCGGGAGGTGGAGAAGGCTCTGAGCGAGGCGCCGTGCGGGGCGAAGTTGTACGAACCCAAATAAAGGACAACGGAGACAGACACAGTGAAAGAGTCCTTTATTACACAAGTGCTCTGTATGTGAGAGGGGCTTCGGGTACTTGACGTCGCTGAAGTATCACATGAGGGTCCACACGGGGGAGAGGCCGCACAAGTGCCCTCTGTGCGAGAAGGACTTCAGGCACTCGACAGCCCTAAAGAGTCACATGATGACCCACACGGGAGAGAGGCCGCACGAGTGCTCCGTGTGCACGAAGAGTTTCTCTGATCCATCGAACCTTAAGGTTCACATGGCGACCCACAGCAGACGTAACCGCAGGTGAGGGAGCCCAGTTATAAACCAAAGATTTTCAAGAAAGACGTCTGTAAGGAGTGAATCAGTTCTCTCGGCAGCTCGAAATGAATTGCAAGGAACTGACCAGTTTGCTGCTACAGTAGTTACTTATTTCATTGAAATAATTAACTAAACTGAAACTAGACTTTTTATTTTACGAGGTAAAGTCCCACTGAGCTAGGTAGGGCTTATACCGAAAATGACGTATACCAAACGAATTTTTCTCATAAGAAATAAAGGGAAAGAAAATAATCCATTCCAGAGTATAAAAAATTATATTTTATATGGCATATTATACATTAATGGGGTTGTATAAAATAACTTAGACACTACTTATTACTAAAATGCATACATAAATAAAAATAAATTGAAATAAAAATACAATTTTACATCATTTTACCTTGCTGAGAGGAGTTGAATGAATTCGCAAAAATGTCACGTTAAAATGACAAAAAACACGTGAAAATTCACAGAGAGTTATAGCAAGGGTTGTGCACTGAACGAAATCTACTGTACAGGCAGACTGAGGAGCGGCGCTTTGTTTCAGTCGTGAACGGGATATACGCGGGTACGCGGTGACTCATCCCGATCCATACAAGTTCTTGCAAGCGCGTCGTATCCCAAGCAAGACGTCGTATCCCAAGACATTTTTTCTCGTCAAAACACGACATATACCAAATTCGACGTATTCCAAAGCGGTCGTATACCGATGTATGACTGTAACTGAAACACACGCCTGACACAAAGAAAATAAAAACTCAAGATGTGACCTGAACGGACATGTGTTGCCTTCCGCCCCTCCGCTCCCGTTTAATCTGCGGTGGTTACACCCCTTTATCTTCGGTCCCTGTCTCCCAACCCTCCAGCCTACTAACTTATTTCAAATGTTGTATAATGGGGGCGGGGGATCCATCTGGCCTCAAATTCCTCCTTTTTTCTCTTGAGTTCATGGCCTAGTTTGTTCCTTTACATAATGCCCCATAAGTGTACTATTGTACCATTGTTTCCAGGTGGGTGGTTCTCTTCAGGTGAGTCACAATAACCTTCATGTGTATGATATATTGAAGGTTTGGAGGAGAGTGTGTTAGTGTCTTGTGGCCATGGGAAGCCTTAATGTCCCCCCTTATATCTCCCCGCATGACATGTCGTCATCACTCACTCTCCCAGAGTAACATCCCGTCATCCACTACTCGTCTACAAATGTATATCAGCAGCAATATACTCTAAACTCGTGATTCTAAATGTGGAGGGCAATAAGTAATATTTAAAAGTACTTTTTTTAAACACACTTTAATAAAATGTACGTACGAGTAATGGCAGAACTCCACTACTCCAGGAAGTGGTCCCGAGACTTGCCATAACGTAAGGGGTCGTGGTTTATAGCCAACGTGAATTGAGCGTGGACAATAAGACCCAAGCCGAAACATAAGATATAAAAAAGATTGCTTTAAATATGTATTGTTAATGATAGAATATAGTATTGTGATCAGAATGACATAAGTATGCCAAGTTTGCAGTCGATACGACATTGGGAAGTGGGTAAACATTGAGTTACAAGATTTGAGGATGCAACAGACAGAGTTAGTTAAATAAAAGCGTGTAATAAAAACCGGAGGACCCGGTCGTGGGCATCGAACCCACGACCTCCTGTAGACCAGGCGAGGTAGTTAACATCTCGCTAGCCACCGTCAAAGCCTTATCATTTAAGTGACGCTTCTCATCCTCCATCTCGCCTCCCGCGCCTCGCTTCGGCACCCCCACCCACCAATATCACGGGTGCAATGCTGGTTCCGGGGCCCTCACCCCTCCACTCCGCTATGCAGGTTCCGGGCCCCCCACCCCTCCACTCCGCTATGCTGGTTCCGGGGCCCTCGCCCCTCCACTCCGCTATGCTGGTTCCGGGGCCCCCACCCGTCGCTTGCTTCCTCATCGACTCCGCTGCTGCTGCAGGGAAGCGACTCCGCTCCCTGCTGCTGCCGCCTCCTGCTGCTGCTGCTGCTCGTCCTGCTGCGCCAGGTCGGGCCTCTCCCTGTGGAGCTCACGAGGCCGGAGCCTCTCGCTCTGCTGCTCCTCCTGGCGCTCCTTCGCCTGCTCCCCCCCCCTGCTGCTCTTTCCATTGCTCTTCCTGCTCCTTCAACTAAACTATTGTGTGTTGTTGTGTTACCGGGTGCAAGGCCCCCTACTTAGCTGTTGTGCAGCCTCCTCTCTGTTGTGAGAGGCGACCCTGGGGCCATCGCCGACTACAGCAGCTCCGACCAAGGTGGGCCCTTGCCTGCTACAACACAAATCGAGCTGCAGACAAACATTGTAACAGCTCTGCATCGTCACTCGAGGGGTGCCAGTGCAGCTGTTCACTACCTCGCCTGGTGTACAGGAGGTCGTGGGTTAGATCGTGTTCCAGATGCCTGCTGCTGTGTATTTGGAGCTGAGTGGGCCTTACCTGATGAAATCAAGTTTAGTTTAATAGATTGACTAAAAGCAAGATGATCTTGAAATGGAAATAGAGTGTTTATAATAATTCTGCACTGAGAGATGTGTGCTATTTGGGGACCCCACGGTGGCTAGGCAATGCTAACTACTAATCTTAGGTTTTTTCGGTAAAGTCACTTAGGTAAAAAATTAAAATTAATAAAAGTAAAATAAAAATCACGACGTTTCGGAGGCAACACAAGCTTCCGTCTTCAGGTGGAACCGTCACAGCACGACCGCTGTAGACGGAAGCTTGTGTTGCCTCCGAAACGTCGTGATTTTTATTTTATTTTACTTTCATTAATTTTTTACACACGTGACTTTAGCGGAAAAAAACTAAGATTATGAATCCTTGCAGTCACGAAAGCTTCAAATCTAGAATTAATGTTAACTACCTCGCCTGGTATACAGGAGGTCGTGGGTTAGATCACGACTCTGATGCCTGCTGCTGTATATTGGAGTCTGCGTCTCTCTCCCCGTGGCCACGTGGATGTTTTACAGGTAGGAACAATGTTCCACACTGCCCACCAGGGATTTTTTGTCTGTCGTGCATAAATAAATATATAACAAACAGCTCTTTGATTGGTGGAGACCTACTGCCGGGTACGGAGAGGGGAGGTGCCTAAGGGAGGAGGGTCAGGGGAGGGGCCTAAGGAAGGGGGGAGTCAGGAGAGGGGCCTGAGGGGGGGGGGGGTCAGCGGAGGGGCCTGAGAGAGGGGGGGTCAGGGGAGGGGCCTAAGGGGGGGGGGTTAGGGGAGGGGCTTAAGGATATGGGGGGGGGGTGCTCAGGGGAGGGGCCTAAGGGAAGGGGGGTCAGGGGAGGGGCCTAAGGATATGGGGGGTGGTCAGGGGAGGGGCCTAAGGGAAGGGGGGTCAGAGGAGGGGCCTGAGGGAGGGGGGGGGGCGATAGTTAAGGGGGCTGTCTGCCTGGCTACCTAAAGTCAAGTTATACATACAGGTAGGAACAACAGGTTCCACACTTGCCCACCAGGGATTATTTGTCTGTCGTGCACGAATGCGCTGTCCAACCAAGTTCCTACCTGCCCACTCCGAAGGAACGTGTTTTTTTCCGGATCCTCCGGTTTTTCCCCTCCACATTTAGAATCAACATCACCACGTGTTTAGAGTTGTTGGCTCTTGCTGTAAATTTCCACTCGATGATATCAGCCCACTTGGTTGGGTTATCATGTGTGATTGCTCTTTCGCTTCTGACAAAGAGCTTCGTTGGCACCTGGTAAAATAAAATAAAAATTTGTTTGGGTCTCGGTGAGTGAATCTCTGTGGGTCTCTGGTTCTATATGAGTATGGGTCTCGATGGTTCTACGTGAGTATGGTCTCAATGGTTCTATTATACGAGTATGGGTCTCGATGATTCTATATGAGTATGGGTGTAGAATTAACTTTGCAGCTATTAATTTCGACGTCATGAGCCACTTTGTTGAGCTGTCATTTGCGATGGCCGAGGTCGCTTCTGACAAAAGAGCTACGTAGTTCCGTGGGGCCTTGACTGGTAAAATACAAAAAAAATAGTTTTAAATCGATCCCAAAAAACACCTATGTTGTGGAATGCAAATGTGATTTGCAGTTCATTATTTTTTGGATCTTTCGGTAAAGTGACGTAGATAGGATCAAATAAAATAACAAAAAACTACGACGTTTCGATCGCAAGACAAGCGGTCATCAGGAAAAAGAGGATTAGCCTCTAAAGGCAAACTGTTTATAAAGGTTTAAAAATGGGCGTAGCCCAAGTGTCATCAGCATGGGTGGGGCAGCTAATGTAAATGTGTTGGTACTCAGAGGGCAACGGACAGCACTGGTAGTGGGCTTCCACCAATAGAGGGCTACGATTAGTGGTGATTGTAGTAGTGGGCAGTGATGGTCCCAATTAAAGGGCTGCCAGGTCTAATATGGAAACATAGCCAGTTACTTTTTGGTTCTTTCGGTAAAGTCATGTAGAAAGAAAATAAATTAAATAATAGAATACGACGTTTCGATTGCAACACAAGCAATCATGGGGTAAAAATGAATGAGAAAAAACAAACCTAGTAAACTTAGAAATATAATGCAATACAACACAGAGTTGGTTAACATAACAGTCAACACCCTACCTGGTTGATTAATTTCTTATGACTTAAACTGGTTAACGTCCTACTCTTTGGTTTTTTCGGTAAAGTCACGTTGGTAAAAATAAATAAATTAAAAAACAACTAAATTAAATAACGATGTTTCGGAGGCAACACAAGCTTCCGTCTTCAGGTTGGAACTGTTACATCCAAAATCACTGTAATAAGTGAAGAGAGTTTCGATTTAAAGCTTTCGTGACTGCAGGGATTCATCTTCTTGGTTCTTTCGGTAAAGTCACGTAGAAGGGAAGTAATAAAATAATAAAAATAAAACACAATAAAATAATTCTTACGACGTTTCGGCCACAACGCAAGCAGCCGTCCTCAGGTGAAAACCAGGTCCGTCGAGGCGACAGAGTCTGAATGAAACAGCACACGAGCTTGGAGCATATATATAAGCTGGGCGCCTTGACAAAGGAATTTGCATATCAAGAGGAATTTAGCATATTTATGGAAAATGCAGGAATGTGATTGGTACTACATATGCATGTACATTATGCAGGATTAACAGCATCAAAGGGAGCTGCAGTTTGCTGCTGCTGCTGCTGCAGTATGCTGCTGCTGCTGCAGTTTGCTGCTGCTGCTGCAGTTTGCTGCTGCTGCTGCAGTTTGCTGCTGCTGCTGCAGTTTGCTGCTGCTGCTGCAGTTTGCTGCTGCTGCTTCAGTTGCTGCTGCAGTTGCTGCTGCTGCTGCAGTTGCTGCTGCTGCAGTTGCTGCTGCTGCTGCAGTTGCTGCTGCTGCAGTTGCTGCTGCTGCAGTTGCTGCCTTATCCATTTTAATATAACACTATGTATTATTCTACCCACCCTAATGTGTATCACATTGCTATATATTTACTATACAATTACGATACCATACATTACTCTGCACACTGCAACAAGCTTACAAATGCCACACTATCTGCCACTATACACTGTACCATTGACCGTCGTGTCAATGGGTGAGTGGTGCGGGGAAACTTGCAGCGGAGCAAAGAATCCATTCCCTGCGGAGAATACAATGCCAGTGAGTGGAACACGGCCTGACAGTCACCGTAAACGTGAACACAATCAGTTAAGATCCAAAATGGTTTATTACGTCCTTCCAATGATTGCTAAGCCAGAATCCATCTTCTCGGTTGAAATTGTCTCTGTGTTTGTATATGTGGATCGCCTCATGAACGAATCTCTCATGATAGCCAGATGGCTTGCAGAGAACCTCTGTCTTGGAGAAGTCAATGTCATGTGAGGCCACTGAATTGTAACAGTGATCTGCCACGGCTGAGGTGTTTGTCCTACCGTGTTTCAGGTCTGCTTTATGTTCACGGATGCGGTCCGAGACATGTCGTTTGGTTTCTCCAATGGTTACTCCGACTCATCAAAATGCTATACCACAGAGCTCATGGCATTTCTGACCAACACCACCTGGCCAGTGAATTGAGACATGTACATCGGGCCCTCAGGATGAACGGATACTCTGAACGCACCATCCGCCAAGCTGTTTCTCCCACCATACAGAAACAGCCACTTGAAACTCCGATCAAAACTGTCACGTTACAATACATAGCAGGCATGACCAAAAAGATCTCCAAAATTCTAAACAAACATAAGATCCAAGTCCGATTCAGTACAGTACATAAAATCCGTGATCTAATTCCATCTGTGAAGGATGTCATCCCTGACTTGCAATACCCTGGAGTCTATAAACTGAGTTGCAGCTGTGGTGACTGTTACATTGGGGAAACGAAACATCATGTCTCTGATCGTGTCCGCGAGCACAAATCAGATTTGAAACATGGCAAAATTGAGTCTTCCGCCGTTGCCGATCATTGCTACAACGCGGTGGGCTCTCATGAGATTGTTTTTTTCCGAGACTAAGGTGCTCTGCAAACCCTCTGGCTACCATCAAAGGTTTGTACACGAAGCCATTCAGATATACAAACACAGACATAATTTCAACCGTGATGATGGGTACAAACTTAGTAATCATTGGAAAGATGTTATCAACCATACAAAAAAGATTTAATTACACATTTTTGGACCATCTTATCTGACAGGCACTATTTTACTTTACCGAGTATTTACATCCCTAACGTTTAATAGTACTCTCTTTATTTCGATTTAAAGCTTTCGTGACTGCAGGGATTCATCTTCTTGGTTCTTTCGGTAAAGTCACTTAGAAGGGAAGTAATAAAATAATAAAAAATTTTATTACTTCCCTTCTACGTGACTTTACCGAAAGAACCAAGAAAACTCTCTTTATTATCAGCCAACACTGGTATAAACATAGGCATTTTCGTTTTCTTTTTCTATTATGTACATCCACAGGGACTTGTGCATAAACACGTCGTTGACCACGACCACGAGTACCCCGTCCCTCTGTTAGCCCTGCCCCCCCCCCCTCCCGATACGTTCCATTCATTGGCTACCACATTCTGATAAGCCCCTCCCCTCCCTCCCGCCTTAACTGGTACTTAAGAGCTTACATCTTGAATCCCTCCTTCACTTGATGCAGCAAATCTGGCTGTGACGGTCCCACCTGATGACGGAGACTTGTGTTGCCTCCGAAACGTCGTAATTTTTATTGTTTTATTTTTATTAATTTTAATTTCATTTTTTACCTACGTGACTCTACCGAAAGAACTAAGAGTATGCTATACATTACACTATTATCCACAATACACTACTATACTCTACACTACACTATATACTACGATACTATAGACTACTGTACACGACATTATTAAACAGTCCACCATACGCTGCTATACACTACTATACACTGCACGATTCTACGCTCTACTATTATACCCTACACTATACACTGCTATAAACTACGCAATACACTATTATAAACTTTGCTGCACAATACTGAACACTATAATACACAACTATACCCGAAACACTACTATAGACTCCTATCCACTATACTATAATACACTACACTATGCACTGGTATACACTCCACAATACACTACACTATATACTATAGAATACACTACACAATACACTACACAATACACTAATACACAATACACTACTTTACACTACAATATACACTGGTATAAACTACACAATATACTACTATACATCACAGAATACACTATACTATACACTACTATACAAAACACTACTATACAATACACTATCCACTACACTATACGTATACTATAGAGGTTCCTGGGTTCCTTGGCATAATGCTATGGGGGGGAGGGGGGAGTATTGGGGCACTATTAAAACACTGTACGTCACATTTCTGAGTGATGGTAGTGTATAAAGCTGGGAGTAAATGAATGGAAATATGGATATGACTGTAAAACTGTGAAGCAGCTAAAGTTTAACTTGGTTAATTACATCCTTCCAATGGTTGCTCAATTTGAATCCATCCTCTCGGTTTAAGTGTTATGTCTACATTTATATATCTGGATGCCTTCATGGACAAATCTTTGGTAGTATCCAGGAGGCTTGCAGAGTACCTTGGTATCGGAGAACACAATGTCATGAGAACCCGCCGTGTTGTAACAATGGTCAGCTATGGCCGAATAATTAGTCCTTCCGTGTTTTAAATCCGACTTGTGCTCGCGAATGCGGTCAGATACATGTCGTTTCGTTTCCCGGATATAACAATCACCACATGTGCAACTCAGTTTGTAGACACCAGGGTACTGTAAGTCAGGAATGACATCCTTTACGGATGGGATCAGATCACGGATCTTGTGTGCTGTCCTGAATCGGACCTGGATCTTGTGTTTGTCTAGAATTTGGGAAATATTTTTGGTGATGCCTGCAATGTATGGCAATGTAATGATTTTGATCGGAGTCTCAGGGGGTTGTTTCTCCACAGTGGGAGAAACAGCCTGGTGGATAGCACGGTCTAAGTATCCGTTCATCTTGAGGGCCAGATGTACATGTTCCAATTCACTGACCAGGTGGTGTTGGTCAGAGATGCAGTGGGCCCTATTGTATAGCGTTTTGATGAGGGAATTATTTTGTGCCAGATGGTGGTGGGAATCCGGCTTCAGGTAGGAATCTGTGTGGGTGGCCTTCCTGTAGACAGAATGTCCCAAAGAGCCATTGGGCCTCCTCTCAAACAGAACATCCATGATTGGTAGCTTGCGATCCTTCTCCACTTCCATGGTGAATTTGATGGATGGGTGTATGGAGTTGATGTAGTCTAGAAATTGGTTCAATGCTGGGAGGCCATGTGGCCAAATGACGAAAGTATCATCCACGTATCTCTTCCACAGGGGAAGGACGCAGAGTGGATATCTGGATGGCATCTGTTTCAAATTTCTCCATGAAAACATTGACTATCACTGGTGACAATGGGGAACCCATCGGGGTGCCCTAATTTTGCTTGTAGAAGGTGTCATTCCAGGTGAAGTACGTGTTCATGAGGCAGTGCCTAACCAGCGCAGGGACATCAGGGTTCGGTCCATGTTGGACCAGTTTGTAGGTGGGTGAGTCAATGGTGGAGACGATAGGGCAAAGGGGTGTACCTTCTTTATGGATTTCTGGTAAGCCATACAATTTGGGTGGTCAAGCAGCAGAGGGTTTTAAGAAAACCGCTTGGTTGGTTCGATTATACATGTGAAATCAGTGATGATATTGTTGGTTTTTGTAATGAGGCTGTTGGTGGATTCTTTGAATTTTTGTATAGCTACCATCATTAAGTAGGTCCTGAATTTTGTTATTGTATGTGCTTTTGTCCATGATGACTGTGGCATTGCCTTTGTCAGCTGAGAGGATGACGATGTCATCTCTCTTTTTTAATTGAGAAAGCTCACAGCGCACATCCTTACTGATGTTGCTGATAGGCGTCTTAGCATTTTTGAGGCTTGCAGCAATTTCCCATCTCACCATGGCTGCAGTAATGTGTCCAAAACCCTTAAAGGGCTACATCGACTTGGGCAATTATATCATCCACTGGGATGTGTTTAGGGGTGGATGCAAAGTTCAACCCTTGAGCTCGAACTGATTTTAGGCTCTCGGAAATTAGGCTGTTGCTCTGATTGATAACAATCTTGTCAACATCTAACTTTTGAATGTGTGGATCTGGCTACACAATTCGTAAAGCTATTGCCCCAGCCGTTGGGAAAGAACGATCTGAGGACCCAATCAAAACCATCACCTTGCCATGTATCGCAGGGGTCACCAAAAAGATTTCCAAAATCATGAGCAAACACAAGATCCAGGTTCATTTAAATTTGTGATCTGATCCCATCAGTGAAGGATGTGATCCCTGACATGCAATACCCCGGCGTCTACAAACGGAGCTGTGTCTGCGGCAGTAGTTAACATTGGAGAAACTAAGTGACATGTCTCAGACCATGTTCGTGAACATAAGGCAGATCTGAAACACGGTAGGACCAATACCTCAGCCGTGGCTGATCATTGTTTTAATGCGGTGGGCTCACACAAAATGTATTTCTCTAAGACGAAGGTACTTTGCAAACCCATCGGCTATCAATAAAGATTCGTTCATGAAGCCATCCATATATACACAATTTCAACCGAGAATTAGACAATTTCAACCGAGAAGATGGGTACAAACTCAGTAATTACTGGAAGGACGTTATCAACCAGTTTAAGTCATAACTGGCTATAATGTTTCCATTCTAGATCTGGCAGCCCTTTAATTGGTGGAAGCCCCCCACCAGGACCATCACTGCCCACTGCTACGATCACCACTAGCAGTAGCCCTTTATTGGTGGAAGCCCACTGCTAGTGCCGTCGTGGCCCTCTGAGTGCCATCACCTCTAGCAGCAACCTCCACCGTCAACAGTGTGAGTGTGTAAAGCGAGGTGCAATGATTACTTGGCAGCCCTTTAATTGGTGGAAACCCACCACCAGGGCCGTCGTTGCCCTCAACGAGTACCATAACTTACATTAACATTAGCTGCTCCACCCATGCTGCTGACATTTGGGCTACGCTCATTTTCAAACCTTTATAAACAGTTTGCCTTTAGAGGCTAACCCCCTTTTCCTGATGACGACCGCTTGTGTTGCGATCGAAACGTCATAGTTTTTTGTTATTTTCTTTGAACCTATCTACGTCACTTTACAGAAAGACCCAAAGAATATAAATTTCTGCAGTCACGAACGCCCCAAGTCAAGATTTGCTGTTTATTCCCTCGCTTTGCCATCTCTTGGTGAGCAACAGGAGCAGCAGCAGGAATCCCCCATACTGCCGCGTCTTCCTTGGGACGGACGATGACGAGGTGGTAAAGGAGGTGGTGGTGGTGGAGCCCCCTTTTCCGCCCATGGAGTCATTCATTAAACGAGAAGACGATGACGACGACAGAGAGGCTGGCAGTAGGATCTGGCTGGCAGTAAAAGTGGAGACGCAGGGGGAGGAGAGCAGCAGCGACGACGACGACCACGGTGAGAATTTGTCTCCCCCACCCCAGCAGAGACCGCCCATGTGCCCTGTGAGCCCACTCATTGACAGATCGACATTAAACGTTTGTCTTAACACCCCCCTCCCCTGCCCCGTCTTTTTCCCCGTTTCTGAGACGACTGCAAGTCGCAGGGTGAGGGTGGGTGGATTGGGTGGGTGAGTTAGTGCGGTGGAGTGGGTGGGTTGTCCCCGTTCACCACCGTATACACGACTACACACTACAATACTATACACTACTATATACTACACTACTTCCCTATACACTACTACACACTACACTACTGCAGACTGTACTACTATACATTACGCTACTATACACTACACTACTCTTTGGGTCTTTCGGTAAAATATCACGACGTTTCGATCGCAACACAAACAATCATCATCAGGTGAAAAAATATATAAAATATATATATATATTTTTCCTGCCTCAGCAGTTCTCCTGCTAAAGAGTATGAATTCCTGCAGTCACAAAAGCTTTAAGTCAAGATTTAGACACTACACTACTACATACTACACTACTACACACCACTACTATACACTATCCTTGACCCTACTACACACTACACTTCTACACACCACTACTATAGACTACTATATACGACACTACTACCCGATACACTACTACACACTACACTACTATATAATAAACTACTATATACTACACTACAATACACTGCAATATATTACACTATATACGATACAATAAACTACTACCCTATACACTACTACACACCACTCCTAAATACTACACTTCTATACACTGCACCATACACTACACTAGTATACACTACACTAATATACACTACACCACTATGCTAACATTGAAAACTAACTTCTTTAGAACTGCTTGTGGTTTGTGCATTTAGTTTTGTTGTCCCCCGCACCTTCGAATAGCACGATTGACTACGTACGGTGGTGCGAAAGAAGTTCAACAAACACACACACACATCTACATTTATAGAAAGTCATAGTGCTAGGAGTGCCATTGTGCAATTTTAAAGAAGTTGTTTACTCACCGCAGATAATCGTAGCGACACGACCGCCGCCACTCTACGGCAGATGGCGCCAAAAGCTGTGCCACACCACAACCCTCCCGTGTGGCCTTGTCGGCGGGAGCTTCGGTACCGATAAAAGTTATTTAACTTTTACATTTTCTTCCGGCTCTGTTTTCATGACGTACTCGTACGTAGTGATGTACACATATATACACGTGCGTACACATACGTACGTACACATACATATGTGCACTTACAAAAGTCATCGGTTTTTCTTCCGATTCCGTGTACGATTCCGTGTATGTCATGACATACATGTACACATACACGTCACCCGCGTTTGGAAGAAAAACCGATGATGTACGTCACAATGTACGTGGACGTACACGTACGTAAGTCATCGGAACGGAATCGGAAGAAAAACTGATGAAGTACACGTACGTACACGGAAAGGGGATAATCACGGCGACGTGAGACTCTGTTATCTCTCAGTAAAACTCCCGAGTATGCATCTCTTGCGTACGCTTTGTGCGCTGTTGTTGTTCTTCCATCTATTCACGGGTTGAGAGAATTAGAAGACATTTAAGAAGAAGCAGCAATAGGTGTATTTTGAGTAGGACACGTCAACCGGAGGGATGACGGCCTTCTGGTCAAGGCTTACGTCACAGTGGCATCCATGACAGGGGTTTATTTTTTCGTTGTTGGGTTATATTGCGTAAATATAAACGTATCGTTAAACCCGCCACCGCCACCACCCGACACAGGCAATCAGGAAGGGGATTTGTCACGTAAACAAAACGTGGTTATTGCATGTTGGAGAGTAAACCCACATCACAACATTTACAATTCGAGTAGCCGTGACATTTCGCCAGTAATTACAACAACCAGCTTCATCCAGTGATGGATAATATTGATCGCGAAAGCCTACTACTACTACAGTCGAACCTCTCTTAACGACCACTCCTGCTAACGACTAATCACTTAATGACGGGGCTCCATGGAGCCCAATGTGTTCGCTTGCCGAACATGCCCCTGTTAACGATGGGCAGTTGTATGTACAGTCAATATCAATTAATGCATTGATTAACCATGTTTATTTTAATATTATGTCTTTATGTCTTAATGTCAATATTATAAAAGTCCTTTTTTTTGGGTGAAAAAGGGTATCGGAACTAATTAAGCCTTTAACGTGTATTTCCTATATTCGCTTAATGACCAAAACTGTATAACTACATGTTAAAACTGTTACGGTGACAGCCAACAACGCCCGTGAGAGTGGTCATGCTAACCGTGGAGAAAGAGTAATTTGAATCGGCTCAGCACGTGTTGGTGTCGGATGGATTTTGACATCGCAGGATCATGAGAGGTGGTGGCGGTTTTGGAAGGACTATCACCCAACAGTGGATTGGCCGTGGATGATGATGATGACAGATGGGTTAGATTACATAAATATGTCGTTAAACTCACCACCACCCGACACAGCCAATCAGTAAGGGGTTTGTCACGTAAACAAAACGATGCAAATTTGTTACTAGTGTAATAAAAGACTCCGTCAGGCACTGCTGGTCTCCGCTTGTCTTTTATTTAGGTTCTTCTCCGCACCCCGCTGGTCTCCTCCTCGGACCAGCGTCGTCTCCTCCCGCGTGCCGCGCATGCTCCCTCTTGCGTGCCGCACACGCTCCCTCTGTTAGCTCCTCTACTCCCGCACTCTGCACACCGCTGGCCGACGGCGTGCTGAGGTCCTTCGGCCACGTGGCCAATGGCGCGGATCTTTCCTCACCACCCAACGTGGCTCAAACTCTTAACTTCCCTGATTGCCCCGATCTCTTCCGGGCTCCCACTTATATCCATTCCCCCCACGTGACCCTGACTCCTCCCCTTCCGGATCAGATCCGGCCTTCCCATACTACCCCGCTGGCTCTTCCCCCATTCACCTCGCCTCCCATTGGAGCCGAGGTGAACGGTGGCCCCTCCCACACGCCCTGCAGACCAGGCTCCGCCCCCCAATACCCCGGGCTGTGTGATTGGACCAGAGCCCAGCAACAACCCCATTTACGCTCGCATTACACTAGTACAGCACTAACCGGTTGTTGTGTGTTGGAGAGTAAACCCACAACGTTACGTGCAACGAGTGTCCGTGCTCGTGAATCTGATTGTGATGAAAAATAAGAATAGGTTTTAATTTTGGATACTATTTTGGATACAATTTTGGATACTGGCAAAAAAGGTATCCTATAGATAAAACTGCTCCAGCCGAGCAATATGTGTTCTCCTACTTGCTTTGTCTTTGTACTATTCACTTGTTGGCTTTTGCTGTCTCTGGTGTAGACCAATCAGCTTCAAAGACAATGCGTATATTATCAGAGCATGTTTGCACGTGTAGTGTCAGCGGAGCGGGAGACAAGGTTCTTGAGGAGGCACCTTTATTCAACACTTTCAGGTTCACAGATTCGCCCTCGCTTCTCCCAGGTCGTCTAGCCTAGCCTTGACACAATCCTCACCATGTTACACCGACAGCGCCGACCCAGACAGCCAACAACTATCCAGCCACGCAATATCTCGCGAAGACAGCAGTGACGAGGCGGCAAAAACGACAGCGACAACGAGACGAGTCCACTTCCCAGAACCGGCAGCCACGAGCTCCCGCTCTCCACTGCGTTTATGCTACCCGGCACAGCCTGGCTCTGCCCTGGCCACGCATCCCTTCTCAAACTCACTAGCGGGTTCCAGGGGCTTCCAGATGGGGTCCTCCCTGACCCTTGCCCCAGTTCCTCTGCCCTGGCGACACACCCGCGTATATGCTCACCGGCGTGTATACTGCTCGGCCACCGCAGTTGCCATTGCTGGACAACAGACGGCGCTATTACACTACACGTATCGACACGAGTATGTATGGTTAATGCAGACTTGATGCCTTACAAAAAGGTATCTCTCCGGTGTTTGAACATCTTTACACAACGCCAAGTGTATTATTGCCAGAAAAGGTTATTTTTATTTTCTTATTTTTTATTTTCATCTTTTTTTGTATACTGGCAGAAGAAAAGGTATCCTGTAGGTATATAACCTGTTCATTGTTCGCCTGCGATGTTTCATCTCTCGGCCGAAGGGGCGGACGTGTGTGCCGGAGAGGAGGATGGCCGAGAACTTCAGGTCAAACGAGAGACGCGGGAGGTCAAACGAGAGACGCGGGAGGTCAAACGAGAGACGCGGGAGGTCAAACGAGAGACGCGGGAGGTCAAACGAGAGACGCGGGAGGTCAAACGAGAGACGCGGGAGGTCAAACGAGAGACGCGGGAGGTCGAACGAAGGGACCTGCACATTGTGGAGGTCGACCCTCAAGATCCGCTGGTTGGCGACGGTTCATCTGTGAGACCTGGAGAGTCGCGGAGGGATTGTTTGGGATCGTCAGGCGTGGCAGAGATCGAAGTGGAGGTGGGCGACGACGACGATGGTGACGGTGAGGGAGGGGAGGGGAGGGAATTCTGATGGATCTTGGTCGTTGTGAGAGGTGAGGTCTGGTACAGAGGCTTCTCCAAGCTGTCAATGTGGTGGAGAGATGGAGATGGCTTTGGAGGACTTAAGTGATAAGTGTACAGGGGAGCTGCATGTATATGTTAGGGGGTGCTGTGGTGACTTAGAAATGTTATCTCCCTCACCTGATATACATGAGGTTATGGGTTTGATCCCGACACTGCCGCCTGCTGTATATTTGGAGTTTGCCTGTCTCTCTCTGTGGTTGCATGGATTTTTAGCCGGGTCCTCCGGTTTTTCCCTCCACTTGTAATAGGCAGGTCACTCCTTGCGGCCTTACCTGGTAAAATTAAAAAAATTGTTTAATTTAGTTTAAGTGTCGTAGGTTGATGTTCACAGGCCCCCTCACCAATGACTGCATCAACAACAAAAATTAATCACGTAAAATGTGGTTCTACAACAATTAATTTGGCCACACTACATCTCTGGTATTGTAAATATTGGTTTTACCATCAGGAAAAAAACCGTTACTCTCACGTGGCAGGGCAGGTGGAGAGAGTGCTTCTCCTTTCCACGTGCTAGATCAGATGTAATTTAAAAAGGCTCTTCAAAAGGTGGTTTGGTGATAACTGCTTCCGTGGGCCTTTCTCTCATGTTAACTCTGCGAGGGGGGGGGGCATCCAAACGGATTCTTCCGTCTCACGACATTACGATAAATAGGTGTGGGGGAAAAAAACAACGGTCTGAATGTTTGTGTGACAGGGATGGTCGTGGAAGGTGCCCCGGAAATGCTCTCCCATGCGAAAAAATCCACCGGGACAACGACAACCTGCGCCAGAAAGAAATCGTACGGCTGCTCGGTGTGCGGCAAGAGCTTCGTCCGCCCGTCGGAACTCAGGTCCCACACGATGAGGCACACGGGAGAGAGGCCGCACAAGTGCTGCGTGTGCCAGAGGGCATTTGTCACCGTGTCCAACCTCAATACGCACATGATGGTCCACAGGGGCGAAAGCCCGCACAAGTGCCCGGTGTGCGGTAAGGGGTTTGCCAAGGAGACGCAGCTGAGGAACCACGAGATGATCCACACGGGCAAGTGGCCCCACGTGTGCACCGTGTGCGGGAAGGGTTTCGAGCGCCTGTCCCACCTTAAGTACCACACGGCCTCGCACACCGGTGAGAGGGCGCACCGATGCCTGGTGTGCGGCAAGGGCTTCAGTCGCCCGTCGGCCATCAGGGGCCACATGGCGATGCACACAGGCGAGAGCCCGCTCCGGTGCCCCGTGTGCGGCAAGGGGTTCAACGAGTCGACGCAGCTCAGGAGGCACGTGAAGAGTCACACGGGGGAGTGGAGCCACCACTGCTCCGTGTGCCAGAGAGGGTTCTTCCGCCCGTCGGAACTGAAGATTCACATGATGAACCACACGGGAGAGAGGCCGCACAAGTGCTTGGCGTGCGGCAAGGACTTCAAGCAGTACGCAGCCCTGAGGACCCACATGATGAGCCACACGGGAGAGAGGCCACACAAGTGCTCTTTGTGCGAGAAGGACTTTGTGCATCGCTCATCCCTGACGAGCCACATGAAGACGCACACGGGAGAGAAGCCGTACAAGTGCCCCGTGTGCGAGAGGGTCTTCAGGAAATCCTCGACCCTGAAGAATCACATGAAGATGCACGTGGGAGAGGGAGCATGCGCGATCGGGAGTGTTTGATTTGTCAAGCCCTTTGTGAGAGGTGCCCTTTGTGACCGCACAGTGGAGATTGGCAGACATGCGGGGGAGCAGTTAGTCAGTGAGGAATATATCGGGAGGTTAAAGACGCTACCAAGAAATCTTCAATGGCTCGAAATGAATTGCAAATGACTAACCAGTTATCTGCACTAGTCACTTATAGCTCTGGGTTAATAGATAGGCTGTGAAAATATCTACACCGCTTGGATGTAAGGATCAAGAAACCTATCTACACGGCAAGTTGTATGCAATTGGTGTCAGAGGCTGTGCGTGCTCCATGCTGTGGGATGGTCAGGGCTCATAGTACCGATCATATCTCAGAATCCGAACATTTATTTATACGGCAGGAGGAATCCGATGAGCTATAAAGCTCTCTTTCACAGATGTCCAGTAGGGGTACGAGGGCCATCACGTTACAACAACAATACACAGTTTCGATTTAAAGCTTTCGTGACTGCAGGGATTCATCTTCTTGGTTCTTTCGGGAAAGTCACGTTGAATGGAAATAAAAAAATAATAAAAAAATGTAACATAATATAATAATTCTCACGACATTTCGGCCACAACGCAAGCAGCCGTCCCTCAGGTTGAGAACAGGTCTGTCGAGAAGACATTCTACGTGACTTTACCGAAAGAACCAAGAAGAAGAACAATACACAGTACACACAAACACGATATGAGTACAAAGTACAAGACAGGTAAACAAATCACCCAAACACATACAAATAAAACGAAACCATCCCCATCCTACCAAGCAAAACCCCACTGGTATTTACTAATTTTTCAGAAGCGACCTGGCTCACACAAATGATATCTAAAGAAAGTGACGTCATCTGCAAAAAGCAACGTCGCCACCTCCATGCCCCCGTACGGAAAACTCTCCCTACCTTGGCTGCACCTTGATATCCTCCCCATGAAAATCACAAACCGGGGTGGAGACGAGACGCACCCTTGGCATAACTTTGCCGTGGTTATTCATGAGCCTGTGAATCCAATGGAGGTGAGAACTCCATTGTTCCCAAGAAGCCACCTTCCTCTTTCCCCCACTGGAAATACATCAAAATTGATGCTTTTGGTTTTGGTAAGCTCCATGACCTGCTCTCGAAAAGGACAACAATATGCAAACTTTGTCAGATGCGGCTTCAGCCAAGGAGCTATAGGAGAGCTCTCCAATAGGGATCCTTGTAGATCGACCAACCCATTTCCACCGCTACTTCTGCCACAGGACCGCAGGGCTCCTTCCCTGCCTCTCTTTAGGTTCTCCCTTATTGGGTATACATTACTCCGCAGTTGTAATGCAGCGATGTAGTGGCACTCTGAAGCCACGCATTGCTGACTTTATCCTCTGCAAAATTCAACTGCCTCCAGTCGCATGGTATCGACCAAATGGGTTTTTTTGGTGCCTTGAAATTCCACCCCTCTTAGCTCATATTGGGATATGGCATTTGTCTCCTCCTGGCCCATACCCACAGGGTCTGGAATCCTCACCACCTTAAGCGGATATTGCAGGTGACCTCGTCCGAGGATTCTTTTTTACACCGTGCAGCCTCAAATGAACCGATGGGATCATACTCTCTAAAACCCCATCACAGGTGGAGGCAGAAAGGTGTAACAATTGGTTTACCCCATTTCTAATCTCCTGATCTAGCGTGATTAGAGTAGACGATTTTTAATATAATTGATCGATCCAGAGGTGTGGACTCGAGTCATGTGACTTGGACTCGAGTCAGACTCGAGTCATGAATTTGATGACTTCAGACTCGACTTGGACTTGCATAACAATGACTTTGTCCCACCTCTGAGGTGTGGACTCGAGTCATGTGACTTGGACTCGAGTCAGACTCGAGTCATGAATTTGATGACTTCAGACTCGACTTGGACTTGCATAACAATGACTTTGTCCCACCTCTGGATCGATCTGCTGGGTAGATTAATCTGGGGGGGGGGGGGTGGTACAGGCATACCCCGTTTAGCACGGGAGATGCGTGCCTGGAAAGGGCTTGGTGAATGGGGGCTATATACGGGGTTATAGCATACACCCTATGCAGATGTGTTTCCGACATCGTAATTTATCACCTATGACCAACACAGGGGTTAATTGGGTTATTGGAACAATATTATGGATGATAAACATGACTTATAAATACTGTTAATGGTACTAAATTTCGAAATAACAAAGTCTAGTCACCAGTGCATGGTGCGACACTGATATGGTGTTCTTGGCAGCGCTGGGAGACAAGATGGGAGTTGCAGCTTCCGCCCAGTGGTGCAGTCCAATCTGTGACTTGGCTTCCACGGCCCCCACCCCACCCCGGTTTTAGAGGAAAGCGCTCATTGGCGGAGAGCGAACACCGCGCCAACTCGACTATGATAGCGCTCGCTCTTTGGCTGAGGGTGGAGAGCGTGAAAGGGCACTAATACTGAACAGGACTTATATGAGAGCCTACACCGTGCTAACTCAAGCACGGCTTTTCATTCTTATGATTTAAATTTACTGAACGTTAAGTATGTAATGTTTTTTTTGTTGTAATAAACACTATATTTTGTTAAAATAAAAATTTGCCTAAGAGATGGCTGTGACGAGGGATTATTTTGCTACGGGAGGGGGGGGGCATACTTAAGCGATTGTTCTTTCGCTGTGTTTGTCCCCACCTGAAGATGGACGCTTGTGTTGCGCCAGAAACGTCGTGATTTAATTTAGTTATTTATTATTTATTTTATTTTTACCTACGTGACTTTACCAAAAATAACAGAGGATGGATCCTTGCAGCCATGAAAACTTCAAATCTAGAATTAATACCCTCTACGGGGAGGATTTCCACTTATCTGATAGAGTTTTTAACAGACAACGAGACAAGAAGTCATAGCTTATCGAGACGCTAACCTTCCTCAAGAGATGCCGCGGCAATAAGGTCATACCCATCACTTTCACACTCACATCTGCTGCTGTCTTCACCGAATGCTAAACAGATTTTGTTCAAAGCTAGCCTATCACTAATATCAGAGAGAATAAGATTGCTCCGATTTGAACTCGATAATTTAGACAAGATTCTCTTACAATCACATTTAATGTTAATACAAAAAATGTCCCCTTCCAATTGGGACTGTGTTGACAACATGACAGCCTCCTCTGCTGATTCATTGTCAACCACATGTAAAGCTAACCTGATTGCTAAATTCAACCTATCAAAGAATAAGCCAGAACCACACATTACAAAGCTAGATGTAAACAAGATTGTTTCGCAGTTACCCCTAATCTCCCAAGTCGATGTAGCCCCCAAAGGCTTAGGACACATCCCAACGGACGTTGCTAGAGCTAAAATAGCCACTATCCTCAAGAATGCTAAGAAACCCATTAGCAACATCAGCAAAAACGAGCGCTCTGAACTCGCAAATTTGAAAAAGAGGGATGACATAGTCATCCTCTCGGCTGACAAGGGCAAGTCCACTGTTATCATGGATAAAAACACATACAACAACAAAATCCAGGACCTACGCAATGATGGCAGCTACTCCAAAATTAATAGAGATCCGACTAACAGTCGAACTACTAAAACCAACAAGATCATCACCAGTTCGACTTCCCTAATCGAACCAATCAAACGGCTCTCCCTAAAACCCTCGGCTGCGAGACCTCCCAGATTCTATGGTCTTCCCTAGATCCATAAAGAAGGTACCCCATCTACGGCCCATCGTGTCCACGATCAACTTGCCTACCTATAAACTAGCCCGTTTTCTATCGGATACTCTGCTTCCCTTCACTCGCAAGACCACTTCAGCAGTACTTAACGCAACTCACTAGGTCTCTCTAGTCAAGGACATTTTTCCTGTCTCCTGATGATGTCCTCGTCAGCTTTGATGTGGTCTCTCTATTCACCAAGGTTCCAGTGCCTGACACCATAACAATAATTGAAGACTATATCCAACATGGACTGAACCCTGATGTCTCTGCGCTGGTTAGGCACTGCCTCAACAACACGTACTTCACCTGGAATGGTACCTTCTACAAACAAAATGAGGGTACTGCTATGGGTTCCCCCTTGTTACCAGTGATAGCCAATGTTTTCATGGAGAAATTTGAAACAGACGCCATCCAGACATCCACCCTGCGTCCTTCCCTGTGGAAGAGATATGTGGATGACACTTTCGTTATTTGGCCACATGGCCTCCCAGCATTGAACCAATTTCTCGACCACATCAACTCCATACGCCCATCCATCAAATTCACCATGGAAGTGGAGAAGGATGGCAAGCTACCATTCTTGGATGTTCTGTTTGAGAGGAGGTCAAATGGCTCTTTGGGACATTCTGTCTACAGGAAGGCCACCCACACAGATTCATATCTGAAGTCTGATTCCCACCACCATCCGGCACAAAATAATTCCCTCATCAAAACACTATACCGTAGGGCCCACTGCATCTCTGACCAACACCACCTGGCCAGTGAATTAGAACATGCACACCTGGCCCTTAATATGAATGGATACTCGGACTGTACTATCCGCAAAGCTGTTTCTCCTACCGTGGAGAAACAACCCCCTGAGACTCTGATCAAAAGCATTACGTTGCCATACATAGCAGGTGTAACCAAAAAGATTTCCAAAATTCTAAATAAACACAAGATCCAGGACCGATTCAGTACAGTACACAAAATCCATGATCTGATCCCATCCGTAAAGGATGTAATTCCTGACTTGCAGTACTCTGGTGTCTACAAATTGAGTTGCACCTGTGGTGATTGTTATATCGGGGAAACGAAATGACATGTATCTGACCGCATTCGCGAGCACAAGTCAGATTTGAAACACGGTAGGATGAATTCTTCGGCTGTGGCTGACCATTGTTACAACACGGCGGGTTCTCATGATATTGTGTTCTCCGATACCAAAGTACTCTGCAAGCCATCTAGATACTTCCAAAGATTTGTCCATGAAGCCATCCCAATATACTAACATAGACATAACTTCAACCGAGAGGATGGATTCAAATTGAGCAATCATTGGAAGGATGTCATTAACCAAGTTGAACTTTAGCTGCCTTGCAGTTTACTGCCTTGCAGTTTACTGCAAGGCAGCTAGTTTATATTCATATTCATATTCCCAGTCTTTTACTCCCAGCTTTACACAATACCATCACTAAGAAATTTGACTCCAAGCCCTGCTTACTCCTGTTATGCGAGCGTAAATGGGGTCGCTGTTGGGCTCTGGCCCAATCACACGGACAGGGGTATTGGGGGGCGTGTGGGAGGGGCCGCCATTCACCTCGGCTCCAATGGGAAGTGAGGTGAATGGGGGTGGAGCCAGCAAGGCAGTATGGGAAGGCCGGATCTGATGATCCGGAAGGGGAGGAGTCAGGGTCACGTGGGGGAGAGGATATAAGTGGGAGCCCGGAAGAGATCGGGGTCAGTTGTTGGAGTGAAGAAGCGGGACCACGTTGGGTGGCCGCCGCACCATCAGCCACGTGGCTGATGAGGCTTCGGCACACCGTCGGCCAGCGGTGTGCGGAGCGGGGAGGAGCGGAGCGACTGACGGGAGAGCGCGTGCGGGGCGCGCGCGAGAAGGAGCTGACGGGAGAGCGCGTGCGGGGCGCGCGCGAGGAGGAGCTAATGGAAGAGCGTGCGCGGCACGCGAGAGGAGCGTGTGCGGCACGCGAGAGGAGACACTGGTTGGAGCTAACGGAGGAGCGTGCGCAGCACGCTAGAGGAGCGTGCGCGGCACGCGAGAGGAGACGCTGGTCGGAGCTAACGGAGGAGCATGCGCGGCACGCGAGAGGAGACGCTGGTCCCTTGTCAGGACCAGCGGGGTGTGAGGAAGAGTGGAGGAGCTGAGGAGGAAGCGCGTGCGAGACGACGCTGGTCCGCGGAGGAGACCAGCGGGGTGTGGAGAAAGAACTTGAATAAAAGACCAATGGAGATCAGCAGTGCCTGACGGAGTCTTGTATTACACTCCCATCACTTGGAAATTTGCCGCGCGTTGTTTCGAGCTTGCGGAGCTTAGTACTTCCCCCAGCAGCTTCAGTTTACTCCCCTGCAGCATACCAAAGGGTGTTATTAATCGGCTTAACTTAGCTTTCTTATTAACCAGCTCAACTTCCGCCGTCCACCCCTTGCATCATAAAGCTTTAGTTTAAACTCCATGCCCACCTCCCAGCCCACGCCCCGCCCCCACACTCACCCTGGCTCCTCCCCCCCCTCTCCCCCCCCCCCCCGCAGCTATATAATCCCTCGTCACAGCCATCTCTTAGTCATACTTAGTGATTGTTCTTTCGCTGTGTTTGTCCCCACCTGAAGACGGACGCTTGTGTTGCGCCCGAAACATCGCGATTTAATTCGGTTTTAATTTTAAATTTATTTTATTTTTACCTACATGACTTTACCGAAAAAACCAAAGAGTATACATGTTTGTGTGTCAGAGTCCGTATGTGTATGTAGGGAAATGTGTGTGTGAGTCTGTGTGTGTGTAAGTCGATGTGTGTGCATGGGTCCATGTGTGTGTATACGTCCATGTGTGTGTGTCTTAGTCGATATGTGTGCGTGTAATTACATGTGTGTTTACGTCAATATGTGTGCAAGTCCACCTTTGTGTGTGAGTCGATGTGTTTGTGTGTGAGTCGATATGTGTGTGTGTCAGTCCATATGCGTGCATGTTAATCGCTTTGTTTGCGTGGATCCATGTGAGTTAGTGTAAGTCCATTTCTTTGCATGTCTGTAGGTCCATGTGTGCATGTGAGTCCATGTGTATGCTTTAATGACCTCGTCAAGGCCTATGATACCATCAGTAGGCCTGGCCTCTGGGTTGTTCTTCATGCTTTCGGAGTCCCTGACCCTCTGCTCACGATCCTTAAGGACCTTGATGATGGTGAGCGGCCCCGTGTCAAACTACGTGGCCGTGAGTCAGAGCCATTCCATCTACACCTTGGGGTGCGACAGGGATGTCCTCTGGCTCCCACATTATTTAACATATTTTGACCACGTAGTTCGTGAAGCCTTCAATGGCTGTACCGGAGGAATTACCATATGGTACAGATACAATGAGAGGCTGATCAATGCCTGGGTGCAGTCAAGAGATGGATTGCTATTGCTCCACCATGTTATGTATGCCGATGCACTGGTGATTACTGCTCACTCAGAGGAGGAGTTGGAGGCACTGCTGCTGAACCTGGAGCGTGCCACTAAGAGGTGGGGCCGAACCATCAGCCTCACCAAAACTAAGCACCTGCCTGGGTATTGTATACCATCGGACAATCCACCCCCACTACTCACAATTGGTGATGGGGCAGTTGTGGAGAGATTGGAGAGTTTCCCATATCTGGCCAGTGTGCTCATGACCGGCTCCAGTTTAACAGCAGAGGTCTCACTCCGAATCAGTCAAGCGCCATTATATTTTCATTGGGTGCGTAACGCTGTGTGGAAGCTACCTGCTCTCTCGCTCTGCATGAAGCTGCAGGTCTTCTCGGCCACGGTATTTTCCTGCCTTCTTTACGCTTGTGAAATGTGGACCCCCCTAATGGAACATCTTCGCCGGTTAGAAACATTTAGGCTGGCCTGCCAACGATCCATCCTGGGTTTTA